TGCCAGTCCATCGCAGGGCACAATCCATGTGATTTCATCAGTTTTTTATGATTATTATTTGTCACACTGTACAATATGAGCCCAATAAAATCTATAACAGAATGTATGATGGCGTATGTCCTCCATGTCAGATTATATGATGAAGATCCACTTGATCTTTACTCACAATCAAAGAATTCTTTTTCGATGACCAATTTTTGTCCACAATGACAGTGTAAGTCTGGCTTTACGTGGTCTAGATTGAACCTGTTTTTCAAAAATGGTAGAGGAAATGAAAGGAAATCTTCTTTAATATCTTTAACAACTTATATGTTATAGTTGGTTATAACAATTCATAGATTGTAGTTAAAGATCCACAACATGGTTTTCAGTGCCCCGTAATGCTCTTGCCTAAACACATTAGGGAATAAAACAAATTGCCCAGGACTCCTGGGTCAGACTGTGGGCTTCTGCATGGCCCCAGACATGTGGCTTCCAACATTCTCATGAGTCAAGAGTGCCTAACTCAGCAGAATTATCCCTGGAGTGCCTTCTGAGCAGTGAGCGAAGAAAGCAATTATAGCTCAGCTGTTTTGGGGACAGGGCGTGTCAAAGAAACGCTGCAGGAAGCTGGAGAATTGCATCCACCTCCCAGTGCCTTGCTCAAATTGAATGAATTGTGTGCAAGACCCCGAAATCAGCAAGCGAAAAAGGGTGATATTTAAGACGGCGAGCTACGGCTGTGCTCACAGTAAGCTGTACATGGACCCTAAGGCAATTCGATTCTGCACAGTAGGACTTTAGTAGGCCAAAGTAAGACTGCAGAGTGCAGATGGATGACTTGGTGGGAGATTCTGAAGTTGGTTATGAAAGTCACCCAAATAGCCTCGTTGTTGGGCACAAAAATGATAACAAATTCCTACTCTGACTTTAAAGAGTACAAAAATGGAAAGAAAGAAAAAGATCTGTATTGTCTTTATATGTATTTCTTTATATATTTTAGATGACTAGTTAAAAAAAAAGAATCAAACATAAGTGATATATTTTTCATAATGAATGTTACAATGCAGGTTGAACACTGGTTTGAATTCGAGCGCCATTTGTATTTCCAAGCTTTTGTTTTAATGCTAGACAAATTCAAGACATCGTCAACAAGTCTAAAAGTGCGATACAGAATGGCATTGCTGGGAGGGTTAAGGGCGGCATGTGGAACGCTTAGTGCCGGGACGAGTGTGTGCAGCGGGCAGGCGTTGTTTTGTCAGAAAACAGCAGGCCGACTTCGCAGACAGTTGATGCCAGTTTCACATGGCGGACAGAGCGCAGGGGGAGCAGCTGCTCCAGGGTGGGGATGGGACGGAGAAGGGAAGCAAAAGAAAGAAAGAGTGGGCGAGAGCAGCTGTCAATAGAGGACTGATCCAGGAGAGAAAGAAGAATAATGGCTTCCATAAATCAGGCAAAATCTAAAAAGCTAATTGTGTGTGGAAGAGGACAATTATCTCATCTCATTATTATTATTATTATTATTATTATTATTATTATTATTATTATTATATACTGTTATTATAATAAATGTAATAAATAGTCATTATTATTAATATGGTGCGTAATGTGGTGCTGTGAAGTGGAGTTACTGTTATCACCTGTGTAATTTGTTGCTATAGAAACGCTAATGTATTCTGACCAATCAGATGAAAACGTTCAACAATAACGCGCATAACCAAATCTGTATAAATGAGAACTAGCGAGTACAATTTGGCTTTGGCTTTAGAGAGACGGGTAACGGTGACACAATGATTCTTCCCACCAGGAGACGGATATAAGCACGTCACGTGATCAAGGCGCAGCCAGGCAGTTACACATTTGGCCTGTGCGCTGATTTGATAAGCGCTTTGGCTAAGTCAGAAATGACATTTTGTGGGAGGGGGGGACATAATCACATAAAAGGTAGCTTCGGGCATTAGCGGCGCCTTCGGTAAAGCTCGGCAGTGAGATAAATCACAAATGAACAGTGTTACGGTCGAAGGGTTTTTAGATTATTAACACGATACGAGACATGCATTAGCAAAAAGCATGCTGTGGTCCTAACACGTATAAAGATAAGGATTCCTTGATAGTTACATAGCATGCACATAGCTTTTGACTTGACTTGACTTTTCTTTCTAGTCGATTTTGAGAATTTAAATTGGGCAGTTGATGAAATAAGGGCATTAAAAGGCCTCCTGGAAGGCAATTTCTTTTTGGGCCCCTCTAGGTGTATTCTTAGTGGGAAACAATTTGCATTTGAATGCCGTCATCAGGCTTGGAGCTTTCGTGTATCGATCGTTTTTCAGCTACGCTGTTTTTCACCTGCCAAAAAAAAATTTGCCTCCTAGAGGAAAGTATCTTTTAGAGCCATTTTTGGACAAAAAATGGGTTCTTAATTATGGGGAAATTTAGGAAGCAAGTAATAACCGGCTCAGCTATATTAACAATCAGTGCTATAGACTATATATATTTAGTCTACAGACGAGGAGGTGAGAGAGCTGGACAGACTAAAGGTCTAAAGTGTTGCCGTATCACTGAATGAAGCGACGGCTCAATCCTGCTGTAGCACGATTCCTGGAAAACGGTGAGTGAGAAAAGAAGCTCATGCTGTTTTAGGAGCAAACAAGGAAATCGGACCATTACCCTTAATTAAATGTCATTGGAACTGTACTAGCAAGAACAATGTCCTCCTGTCCTCCTGTCAACCCGCACAAAAATCATCAGAAATATTTCAGTATGAACATATTTACTTGGTTCCAGGGTGGAATTTCCCTTTTAAAGGATGTAAACAATAAAGACAATAAACACTATATGGTACACCGAACATTAGCACGAATATAAATGTTATCATATCTGTCATGTCACGCCATTAACTATTAGTTAACCAGCTGTTTATCAAATATGTCCGACTCGGGTGCGTGTCTACGTGTGATGCAGATCCAACGATTACCACAAGCCTGAAGCACATCTTGATAGCACATTTCTTGAAATGGATAGGATCATTAGACCCAAAATTCGGCGGTTCAGCACCACAGATGGTGTCGTCCCCTGAGGCGTTGCAACACTGACAGTTCTCCCTTTTTTTTCCCATTTGATTCACTAGCATAAATCAAAATGACGGGTGTGTTTTGAACCATGACCATTACTTTTATGCAATATTGGTGCTAACAACCGCTGTGGTGAAAAAACGACAGGGGCGATTTATTATGTACGTATTCAGTCTATTGAATCTATGTTTCATTTGTCAACATGTCATCCTGGTACTGATGAAGATAATTATATCATTTCTGTAGTATTGTCTTCTTGCATCTGATTGAAATATATACATACATTTTATATATATATATATATATATATATATATCTTGTAATAGATTTTATTTTGTATTCACAAAATATTGGATACTTCTTCCATGCGTAGCATCTCATATTAATTAAGATCATCAATCTATACAATTCAGATGGGTGTCTTTGTCATGAGCCAGACCCAAACCTTAAAAAAAAAAGTTTCTGGAATAAATTTGTCATTTTCCATTTGAAAGTCAGCAGATCTCTGTGGTTAAATGGAATACCATATCCCTTGAAGTCTTTAAAACCTGGAATTGCCAAAGTGCAAAGTAAATCTAAAAAAAAAAAAAAGTTCATTATACAAAAAAATATGTTACAGCCCGTGTATCACCCGAGGCCTTCCTGGATTTTTCCTTAGTGTGCATTTCAATTACTTTACAATTACCTTAGCTGAGTAGCGTGACCAAAATTTTGTTTGAATTTTATTTTAAACAAACTAACCTAGAATTAGGAGACCATTTCAAAGCAGAAACAGCCGCTGGACATTAAAAATCTCCCTTGCTTTCCACCATTCATTACTAATTTCTTTCATTCTAGTTAAGTGCTTATACAAAGGTAAGAAACCTTTTAGAGCAGACATTTTGTGAAGGGCCCCGTCTTCCTCCTTGTAGTTTAATGTACCCTTTTATTCAGAACAGCACCAACAGCGCTGCCACTAAAGGGTCTTTGTTAGCTCACGAGTAGGGGTCGACTTGGGCAGTGGGACGTGGGTCTGGACTATCCACGGTGAATGATAAGTGGAGAAAGAGGCTGCTGCAAGTGACAGCTGCTTTATTGTTGAGGAAGTGTAGAGGTGTGCTTATAGAGGATGAAAACGACAGAAGTGGAAACCAAAAGATTTTTTTTTTTAAATATATATTTTCAAAGCTTTGTACATTTATGGTCATTACGTACAGTGTTGCTTGAAAGTTTGTGAACGTTTTAGAATTGTCTATATGGAGTGTGATGGAGTGGTACCCCGCCTTGTGCCCGATGCTCCCTGGGATAGGCTCCAGGTTCCCCGTGACCCTGAAAAGTAGTAAGCGGTAGAAGATGGATGGATGGATATATGGATGGATGAGTTCTTAAATATGGAATAAATCACAATGGGATGTGTCGTAATCGGAAAACAACCAATGATGTGAAGCTGAGTTACTGTCGTCACCACAAAGTTGATTCTTTTCCTTTAAAATTACATTGACATATTTTATTCCTCATATACCACAGCAATTACGTATAGCACTATTTATTGGTTAAAGAATGGCACCGTACCTTTTATCCATTTATAGTTACATTTCATATTGTGGAACGTCCACTAAACAGGTTAGTTCCTATAACTTTTGCTATAGCAAACATAAATGGTCAGCTCCTCACCAGCCTCTCTTATTTCTCTCTCACTTTCTTGAAGATAACAAGACCCCAAAAAAATGCATGTCACATTACAGAGAAACCTTAATATACATACATACCTCTTCTTTTGGCCGCTCCTGTTAGGGGTCATCAGTGGATCATCTGTCTCCATTATGGAAATCCGGTTTATGAGCCTGCATATTTGATTTGGCACAGGTTTTACACCGCATGCCCTTCCTGAAACAACCCTCCATTTTATCCGGACTTGGGACCGGCGCTGAGAGAGCACTAGCTTGTGTAATCCCAGTGGCTGGGTTTTGGTGCCCAGCGTGGGGGTCAAACCCACAATCCTGAGATTAAACCTCTCATGCTCTACCGACTGAGCTAGCCAGGCCCCCTAATATATGTATCTCGGTATAAACATACTACATCATGTGCTACAGTACAGATTATATTCCTTTAAGAATCTATACTTTTGACAAAATGGTCATGAGTTACAATCTCCGTGCTGTGAATACTTGATGAACACCCTTAATCCTTAACATTATAACTCCGTAAATGTTCATCTTTAGTTGTATACTGCCTCACTTTGGCAAAATGACCTGCCAACTGTACTGTGTATCCTTTTACAAGATCTTACCTTACCTATGATGATAACAGCTTTTCATACAGTACATCAAATCAGTTTGCAGTAGGTGAGCTGACACCCAAACCTATAAACTGGGCCAAAACCCAGACATCCATTGTATAAAATTCCCTGACCAGGCATCATGGAACAGAGGCCCATGGGCAGCTGAAAAGCATTCATAACATGATTCATTCTTTAAATGATTCAGTCTTTTAAGAATAGATCCCACAGCCTGGGACTTTTTTATTTGGTTCATTTAGTCGACACATGCCATTTTCAGTCAATACAACTCTTTGAAACTCTACTAAAGCTTACAGTAGACATACCACATATCTCTACTGTATCATCATCATAACTACCATTATATCATTGTTATAGCAGGGTCGCGAATATGTGACCTCCAATTATCCCTTTTGTCCGGGCAAAAATGACTGTAACTGGTATGAGTTCTATAAGCTTTTACTAGAGAAGACGATATTCTTTGGCGTTTTCAAGATCAGATTAATGTAGCAGCAATAATTATATTTTCATCAGATATCATCTTTATCTGCTGTTCCCCATGCATGCTAGGGCTATTTGCTCTACAGTCTGATGGTATACACATATAATCAAACCTAGACCTAAATTAATATAACGCTTTTCCAAAAATGGTAAAATGTCAATGCCAAGCGGCTTCTATTTCTAACCCACTGCCGTCGGCACACAAAGAAATCAGAGATTCTCCAAAAGCTTTGGCTGAAGAGAAGGTGACCTCCTCCTGGTTGTGCTGGGCTTCTTTCCCAAAGAAGAACAAACAGTCTGTCACCAGCTGTCCACCAACGCCATGCCAAGCTTTATGTCCCCTCCCCCGAAGATTTCTTCTTGCCTAGGTTTAAAGGACCAGGGGATGGGCACATAGCACGAGTGTTCGTATCGTCTCATCTGCATTCCGTGATTTACATTAATAAAACTGCTTTGAGTGCCTGGAATGTTTCCGAATAACAATTGTCAACTTGGTGATGGAAATGGTCGGGCTGTTTAAGGGGAAAGTACATTTCAAGGATTCAAGGAATTTCCCAAGGAATTTCTCGGTGTGTGTGTGTGTGGTATGTACAATTGAATTATACAGTACATTTTTTTTATTTAATTTTTTTAACTGCAATTAAAATGTTACCAAACCAATGGACAAACCAACAGTCTCACACTGCTGTCTTTGACTTTTTTGTTGTTGTTGTTATTAATGCCTTGAAGGTAAGCTATTGGTCGAACATTCATTCGTTCATCCTCAGTACACACTTCATCCTAGTCAAGAGTATCCAGAGCCGATCCAAGGTGGATGTAAGGCGGGAATACACCCTGGATGGGGCGCCAGTCCATCCGCAGCTTATCCCTTTAATACAGGACACAAGAGTAATATATCCTTGATGGGATGCCAGTCCATGAGGAGCCTAGCCTGGGAAAACAGGGTGCAAAAGCAGGAATACACCATGGAAAGGATGCCAGTCCATGGCAGGCTACCACCCATGTACAGTCCCACACATGTTCACACCTAGAGGCAGTTTAGCAAAGCCAATCCATGTTTCCAATACCAGCATGGAAGGAAACCGGGGAACTCGAAGGAAACTCAAACAGATACAGGAAGAGTATACGAAACTCAGGCAGATCAAACTGGGGACCCTAGAGTTGCATGTGTACACATTTTGACACATAACTTGGTTCAGATGGTAATTCATATCAAATCATAAAGTAAGCAGTGACTCATATGGTTCCTTAAGGTTCTTTCAGATCCACCTCGCTCTTGCTCCTCGACCTTGCTTTCTTTCCCAGTTACAGCTCGCAGCATGTGATAGAAAAGGGGTCGTGCAGGTCAATCAAAACTCACAGCTTGAACAAGTGCTATTGAACAAAGGCCTCTGACTTGGCAAACCCCAAAAAAAAAGGGATCTCCAGCAAGTCACCATGTGGGGTCTGATTAGTGAAAAGGAAATGTGAATTTAGCTCAGGCAATTGAACAGGTTGACATCTTACTCAAAATCGATCACATAAGAAAACACGTAAAGATAAAACAAATATACTTACATCCATGTTCTGTGCTCTCAAGACGGCACAGCTGTTCACCAATAGGTAAAGTCTGTGAGGAAGAAAAGAAAGGGAATTCAGTTGGAAAACTTTGACTTTGAATTATGATTTTTGAGGAACAGAACGTTTTAGCAGGACAAGTTAATCCAGACCTGACTTCAAATAAAATAAATAAATAAAAATCGATACGCATAACTGACAAGTCTGGCTACAAGGTGCTGCTATAGATTAGCAGCATGGCGCTTTAAAAATGACGTATTGATTGTACGAGTCCTATTTACGGATGCTGTGACATTCTGAACTTCCGATATTTTATTCACAGAAGGAAACGGCAACTTTCAGTGATAAACGAGTGGAATACCAATCTCTAACGCTATAGCTCCAGTACAGAGAATGAAAAAGGCTTTGAACTAACGTCTTACACTCTCAGATGGTCTTTCGCAGACAGAGTGGGTGGATTTCAAGTCACATCATATTTTATTTATCAACCCCAGCATTTGGTTTGGGAAAATACTTAACACAAATTATTTCCAGAAGCATCACTATGAATCTATTTCTCTTGGGCCCCCTCTATGATACTCTGAATTTCATGCATAATAGTGGCATGTAGCCATAACCTCCAAGATGTAGACCACTTCAATACATGACCTCAGCATAATGTTAGTGCTTTTTTTTTTTAATATTTTATTTTAATATTGCATTCATGGCTTGCTGTATAAGGTCAATCCTTGTTCTGTGGTCTCGGGGAAAGTTCATATGTTTGCAAGACTGCAGTAATGCGTCTGACGCCGATTAAACTCACATTTTAAGCTCAAGCGCAACGCTTTCATCAAAGCCTCTGGTGAGATTTAGTAGTTGATGTAGAAGATAAGGACTCTTTATTAGCATACCCAATAATGTGTTCAGGTGAGGTGTTTCCAGTTCACAGTTTTGCAGTAAAGGCCACAGTTCATGTCTAGTTAGTATTTTATACTATGGCTTTTTAGGTATCGGCACCTTACAGCTCCAGGGTCTCCGGTTTGATCCTGAGCTCGGGTTACTGTCTGTATGAGGTTTAGCATGTTCCCCACTTATCTGCTTGGGATATCTCAGGTTTACCTTCCACCTCTTAAAAACATGCCATTAGCAGCCTTGATTAATCACAAATACATTACAGTAGTGAAATTATTCTCTTCACATTTCCCAGCTTGTTAGGAAGCTGGAGACATAAGGTAGATAGGGCCAGAAGGATATGGTGCTGGTAGGTAGCAGGTGGGGTTAAGGGCCCCCAACAGTGGAAGCCCGTGGATTTAAACCCCCACTTCTTTTGATCAGTAACCCAAAGCCTTAACCATTGAGCCACCACTGAAATGGGGTGCTTTGGCACTACCATTTGTTAAGCACTGGACTGGCTATGAGCAATTGCCCCTAGGTGTGAATGAGTGTGTGAATTTGTACATGCGTGCTGCCATGCGATGGACTGCCATCACATGCAGGATGTATTCTCACCTCACAACCGGTGTTCCCAGGATGAGGCTCCAAATCCACCTTGAGCCCTGATCACGATAAAGCATTGAAAGGTATGCGTGCACAAACTCAAGGCATCCAGGTCATTGTCAAGAATGCTTTTCTTATTTCGCCAACATCAATGAATGACCTCTTAAGAACCCATAGCAAACGTTAGCATTTGGGACACGCTCCATACGTGTGTGTGGGTTTGGCAGGCTTCCTGATCTGAATCACCTCCATCCTGCTAAACGGGTAGCGAGCAGACTCCTGCTGTTCCGGCTTAGGTCTTAATGAGAGAGATGAAAGAGTCAAAAATTCACCCAGGCTGCTAACTCGGGGTTGTGTCGTTCGCTCCACACGACCCCTTACTGCGCCCATCCCGTCTTTCCCTCGCCTCTGCCTACAACAAAGCCGTCCATCTCCGTCGTACTCTTTCAGGCAGGAGTATTATTTATTTCAATGTGTTCCTGGCCTTGATGTAAAAACATACTGGCTTTAAATTTCTTCTTGCATTGATCCATGCTTACCAAGCTTCATTTAATCAAACGCCGTGCGAGCAAATTTCCTTGTAAATCGCTGGTACGAACATGTACAAAAGAAGTGTGGCTTTCGAGAAAATACATTTAGTTCAGAAAAACATTCATATAATACGAGAACTCCGGAGTTTGTACAAGCTTCGTACAAGGAGACTCTAATGTGGAACTTGTCTGATCCAATTCCAATCTTATAATTGGTCAGGAGTTTTATATGAACTGCAATTTTATATACGAATCACATCAAGTTAAATAAATAAATAAATAAATTTTAAAAAGCTTATTTTTTCAATTTAAACACACGAGTAAAAATGAACATGAACTTTTATTGTGTTTACAACATGACAATCATGACAATTTATTTATGAAATTTTGGGTTTTCTCGGAGCTAAAGTGCCAGTTATTAACAAAAAAAAATAAAAATCACTGAATAGCAGTGTCTACCATCATGGAACTGCCCCTTGTTTGGGTCTACAGACCTCCTGCTGTGAAGAAGAAGGAAAGCACGCAGGTTTGGGATTATAGAAAATTCAGTTTGATCTCATTGCACTGAAGATAAAAGGAGAGAATCCACATGAATCTGGCCTTAAAGCAGTATGAACAGTGGATTTGGTTGAAAAAAGGGGGAGATTTTGGGTGACTGCATTTCAATTGTCTTAAGAAGGAAGGCCAGGCTTACAAGCCCGA